GGGGCGGATCCAGTGTTCGTAGAAAGCCAGCTTAAAAGCCAGCTCCCCACAGGCACCGGCTCCTGCCTTCACCCCACCTTGCTGCCTCTGATGCATGTAGTCGACAGGATTAACTGATAAGCTCAGGATTATCACTCAATCGAGTAGTCGAATACATGTTGACATCCCTACAAGAAACTGGAGAAACTAGAAACTGAAGAAAAACCCTGGATCTGAATACCCCCAGCCCAAAGAGAAGCCGATATCCACTTGTAACTCTGGCCTATGTTTAATGTGTGTTTGGGAAGTTCACACTGCCATTTTATTTCCAGTTTCTTTTAGAAGAAAATGTATACCCTACATGCATCAAGGAAGGAAGATAAATATTTACATGTGTAATACAGTTTTCATTTGTTTTAAATAGCTGGGACAACAATGAAAGAGAAAAGATGAGTCCATGGGACATGGAACCAGTTCCAGAAGGAAGTAAATATGCTTTTGAATTATATTATAATTATATAGTTCTGTGTCAGTACAGTTGTACTGATATGGCGTTAATGGCTCACAGGTCTTGAATTCTTCATATTTCCTTTAGCGGCTTATCCAGAGGAAGTTGGTGCTGGTGTTCCCGTGTCTCCAGAGGAACTGACATCTCTGCTGTATAAACCCCAAGAAGGAGAATGGGGGGTCCATTCCAGAGATGAAGAATGTGACCGTGTTATTAGGGGGATTGATTATCTTCTCACCCTTGGTATGTTGGGCACGAAAGATGTGTCATAAGAACCATCACGATGCTGAATGAGTCTTTGGCGGGGCGGGGGAATTTTGCTTAACAAACAATAGTTGGAAATAGCTTCTTATTCTTCTAGGTGTCCTTTGCAGGTACACGTTCATCTTCATAGTGCGTGATCCTGCAATCATCCATGTTTAATGATAGCAAGGGAGCAAGACCGAGTGCCTGATGAATAAAATAATTGTTAGTTTTAACTAGTCTCAGTATGAATCTATTTTATTAAAATGAGTCTGGCATACAATTGGACACCTATAGATGGCAGTTTTCAGCAACAGCTGCTGGCATGGAAATCTCAAATGCAGTTTTTAATTAAAAATGCATTTTTAAAAATAGTACATGTTGGACCTCCCTACTTTGGCTCCCTTGGGACCTGACTGGTCTCAGGTGAGGGTTTTTCTGGACTGGGGAAGTCATTTCTGCTCCCACCTGCTTCTGATCCTCCCCCACCCTAATACCACACTGGGCTTTCTGGATCTCCCCAAAACCCAAGTGCTAAGCCTCCTGCACCCCTCCCCCACAAACCCAGCTACCCTGCGGCTCAGCTGATCCATGTGCGCAGCTCCTGCCCACAGCCCAGCTGGGTCACATGTCACGCCCCTCCCCCGCATAATGTCCAGCTCCTGGCCTCCTCCCCCCCCTCCCTCCCCCCCAACAGCATGCTAGGACTCTATGATCATGGAATATCTGTGGTCCTTCCCGACTATGGATGTTGCTGGACCAGAGAGTTCTGGTTTATAGAAGTGCAACCTATAGTTCATAGAAGGGGGAAATCATTTTCATCCCATGGCATTCAGAATGTCTCACCAAGCAACATGAATGTAGATATATTTATCACTGATCAATGATTGCTGGATTCTCCTTTTTATAATAGATCTAATTCATACTGCCAGTGTTATCATCTGTGGCATCTGACTGATTCTGATCTTTCTGTTTTTAGATATTTCTAACCCCTTTGCTGTTCCAGTGGACCTTAGTGCCTATCCCATGTATTGCACTGTAGTTGCTTACCCAACAGACCTCACCACAATCAGAAGGAGACTGGAAAACAGATTCTATAGGTCAGTTTGATTTGTATCTAATTTAAATTACTGTGCATTTACTATGTATCCCACTAGCATGATCTTCTGAGCTGACTATTGCAATTCAATAAATAACTTCAGTGAATATTGTCACTTACTGTAAAAAGTGTCCTCAGGTGATCCGCAGCATCAGATTAGACTCCATGTGCAAACTTCAGAGAATAAATCTTAGATTTCTTAAAAAAGGAGTTTATGGCATATTGCAAAAATAAAACCAAGTTTCTGGATCTTTATCTCTTTCTCAATCTGAGACGTATCCATCCTACAATAATTAGAAGCAATTCAGATTTGCTTGATCAAACTTCTTTTGGCTCTGGTATCTGATTCTTTCACTCCAGTCCAGAAAACTTAGAAGCAGTTCAATATTCCTACCTTCATCTAGTAGTGTATCTCATCCTTTTAAAAAAAAAAAAAAAAAAAAAAAAAGCACCACCCGTATGTACAGTTTTCAGACATGTACATTTTTTTCCTACCATTTGTTTTTACAACTTAATTGTAGCCTGGTGAGCGATGAAGTGTTTGGGGTGTAAAAAGTACCAAAATAATAAAGCGCTGTAAAACTTAAAACAAAAAATCAGTTTTCTCCAAATTTCAGTTGTGTTGATGTACTCCCCAGATTTCTCTCGAGTACCCCCGAGGGTACTTGTACCACTGGTTGAGAAACTCTGATCTAGTACAGTGGTTCTCAAACTGGGGTCCATGGACCACTAGTGATCTGCCGATGCCTTGCAGGTAATCTGCAGCTTGAGCTCAGGCCCTCTCTCTCCCCCCCCTCCCACCTCCACCCCCACAACGGGGATCCCATGCTAGCACTCCAACCTCACGGCCCTCCTGCAAAGTTGGAATGCCAGTGGGGGAAAGGAGAAAGCCCTGAGCCTTCCCACCAGATTTGCCTCATGAGGAGGAAGCAGAGCCGGAAGCAGAGCCAGAAGCTGCTTTGTGCACTGCTGCTTTCCCCTCCTGGATGTGCTGCCTGAAGGCTTTTCCTGCTGCTCCCATTGGCCAGAAGCTAGCCAATGGGAGCAGCACAAGGCCCTGGCTGGGAGTAGAGGGGGGCACAAAGGCAAGTAAGTGCCCCTCTTCCCCCTCGTGCCCAGACCCCCATCTACCTGCTGAGATCCCGCACCTCCAGCCTGCTCCTGCACTCGCCCCGCTGGCTAGACAACCTACTCCTAGCCTGCTCTTGCACCCTACCTCCCACCCAGACATGGCACCCTCACCCCCTTCTCACTCTCACCCAGATCCTGCATTCCCATCCCTATACCACTCACTGGCAGCCCTGTCCTACTCACTCAACCCTTCATCTTTTACCCCATCCCAAAAATTCACTAACTCTGGAACCCCAGAAGAGTTAATCTGGCCTATAGGAAGCCCTGAACCTCGGTCCTCCCTGGCCCCCCACTCTCTTGCCCTGCACAGGGCCACATCAGTGAGGATTGGAGAGTGTTTTTTTTAAGGGGGGGTGTTTGTTTTTTGTTTCTCACTTGAGTGATCCCTGACTGATTTTTCTGTAGGTTAGTGGCCCCGACCCAAAAAAGGTTCCCCACCCCTGCTGTAAGTAAAGGCATAGTTGAAAACTTTGTGTTGGAGATACATCATTAATATTTTACTTTATTTAAAATGAAGTTTAATGAACTAACATAAGAAAGTTAAAGCACTTGATCTGTTTAATAATTTAAATTAATATTCATTTTCTTGCTGGTTAAATTAAACCATTCTCCCCAGCTGCAGCACTAGCAAAATGGCTCAGATATAATTATGTAATTAATGGTGAGTTTCCATTAGCAACTGGTGGGCCACAAAAAGGTTTGCATTGAGCCAGGTGGGACATGGGCCAAAAAGTTTGAGAACCACTGATCAAGTAGCTGATCATCTTAACTTTTTAAGCTGATTTTGAGGCAGCAGCAAATAATAGCTCTGTTATTCCCGTCTCCTTTCCCTTAGAGCACCAGAATTTACCATTGGGCCCGCTCAGCCAAGTTCCCTCACTGAGGCAATTTCTTTCTTTCTTTGTTAATAGTGCTATGTGAGTTTTCTTACCATGTAATAGGCCATGGAGCCTGTCACTGCCAGCCTGTCAGATCCCAGACTTCTAAGCCACCTGAACAGAGGCTTTGTGTCTTAGTGCTGGGTTAACAGGAACTACCTGTTTTCTAACTTTCCTTTGCTGCCATGAAACTTAGTAACATTTTTCTCCCCCATTCCCTCACTCAGGAGAATCTCAGCATTGATGTGGGAGGTTCGATACATTGAGCATAATGCTAGGACTTTCAATGAGCCAGATAGTCCTATAGTTAAAGCAGCCAAAATTGTAACAGATGTCTTACTTCACTATATCGGGTGAGTAGTTTGTGTTTCCTTAGGACAGCATTTCTGAGCTTCCAAGCCAGTTCTGAAACGTATTTTGATTTGTCCTGTTGCTCTCCAGGGATCAGAGTTGTACAGATATATTGGATATATATAATAAAGTGAAAGCAGAAGATCTAAGCAGTACTGATGAAGAGGAGGAGGTAAGAGCAGTAAGCATGATAATCAGAATCATATTTAACTCTTTTTTATTCGGTAGATGGAAGTTTACGAAATTTATATTTATATTTATGTGTAATCACCTTGGGCTTTGATACAAGACTGGGTGTAATTTGTGTGGCAAGGTCTTCAATTATAAACTCTCCTCATTTTGTAAGATTGATTCTTTGAGGCTGACTAGCCACCTGAATCTACCCTGAGTGCCTGAGTTTCACTTTTGCATGGAGAAGAAAAGCTAAGGGAAGGTGGTGGGGGGTGTAGGAAAATACATGAGATAATATAATATTGTATTATACAGTTCTGAGAAACCAGGTAAGCAGTCATCTCTCTCCAATCTCTCCACCTTCGAAGTGGCACCACAATGGATTTTGTCTAAGACTTTTTTTTTCTTCATTTTTTGGCTTTTGCCTTGTAAAAATGACTGAAACTTCAGAGTGGTTTCTGTTTCTAACCCCATGTTCTTTTTTAAAAAATGCAGTTTCCAAGAATATTACAGTGTAGCAATTTCCATTGTGATGTTCTGACTTATTTTTTCCTTAGTTCTTTCAGGCTACGGTCTATGAGCCATTTATAGTGGGACATGTTTGTCATGGTTATTTGCAGCCACCTTCTCCAGTTCCCTCCCCCCATTATATCTATTCAAATATTTGAAGGAAAACTGATTGCTGGATGAGTAAACATGTTTACCAAATGAGTAAACGTCAAACATGCTTCACAGCTTTCATAACAGACCAGAATGAATACAGTGTTTGAGGATGAAGAGGAGGTTAATTTGTCCTACTCACTATTGTGTGAACACACTAGGGATGTAACAGTGTAGGCAATTAAACGATTAACCAATAAGTGGCTGCTTATTGGTTAATGTTCTCAGCTACACGCATCCTCCTCTCCCCCCCGCTTTCTGCCAATAAATATTTCAGCAGGCTGGCCAAAAGTCTGGCTCAGTCCCAGCCTGTGCCAGGTCCCAGGAGCTTCTACCCCTGCTGCAGCTAGGCAGGAAAGTCATTTAGGAGACGGGTGGGCAGGCAGTTCACCCCCAACTCATGCTGGGTCCAGGGAGCTACCGCTGCTGTAGCTGTGCAAGCTGCCTGCCTTGCTCCTAAATTACTTTCATTGCAGAGCCACAGTGAGGGTAGCTCCCAGGACCTGGCATGAGCCAGGACTGAGTGCTTGCAGTGCTAATGCTTATTGATTAATCGTGTAGTTGCCAACATTTTTGTCAACTACACGGTTAACTAATTACACACTTTTTAACATCCCTAGAACACACACCTTTTTTCCTTTAATTTTTTTTAAAAGAATTGGCTTCTAAACCTGTTTAAGGATAGGTTCCAAACCCCATATAAGCAATGTAAAAAGCATAAAAAAACACTAAATTTTCTCTTTGCTTACAAATGTGGAATAAATAATTTTAATAAAATGTGTTTTCTTGCATAGATTTGGAATATAATAACTCTTGCATTTTGCCTGTTTAGTGAGTTGTTTTTCTTTTTGTGCTCCTGTTTCATTTCTTGCTCTGTTTTTAGATGAATTTGTATGTCACTAAATCAGCGGTTCCCAACCTTTTCCAAATAGGGACCCATTTTGACAGGGAAAGGTGTGTTTGTGGGGGCGAGGGGGCAGAGCCACCTGGGGAGACACTTGGCGACCCTTTTGAAATGCAATGGTGGCCCATACGTTGGGAAACCCTGCACTAAATGAATACAGACTTCTTTAAATATAAGAGAGCACTGAACATAAAGTGTTTGTTTCTTTGGGGTCTTACAAGACTCAACCTCACTCATCCAGCCATTTCAATTTTTTATAGCTATACATACTAATATAAAAGGTGAAATTTCTAGTAAAAGAATCACTTCAGTTTCGCTTGAATCATCTTTTATTGCAGCAATCTCACCCAACATATTTATTCACACAGTAATTATTTGGTTTTGTTCTTTTTCTTCATGCTGACACTTGTTTGAGTGTAATCATTATTTTTTCCTTTAGGTGGCAGAAGTAGATGTAGATTCAGATGGGCCTGGAACATCATCTGGGAAAAGAAGAGTAAGTAAATAACTTACTTGTGTCCAGTGTGTGCTGCAGGAGTTGGGATGGTCTAGAATTAATTGCACTCATTTAGGACTTGACCCTGCATAGGCTCAACTTTGAACAGACAGATGCCTGTATAGAAAGTTAAGCACGTGTGTAAGTGTTGGCAGTGGCAGGATCACAACCTGATATTACTATAGAACAGGCCTACTCAACTTTGGAAGACCTGGGGGTCACAGTGATACTCTCAGAGCATGCCGAGGGGTGCAACTTGAAGTATGGTTGCATATACATGTAAATATATGCAAATAGCTTCTTTCACACTGATGGGTATGAATACAAAGATTAAGAGTAGTTGTGGCCAACCCGCAGCTTGTGAGCTGCATGCGGCTCTTCCCTCCTTTCCCCCTGTCAATGCAGCTCGTGAAGCCGCCCCCGCGCTCCTGAGAACAGCCCCCGGGCTCCCCTGTGCTCTCTGGGGCAGGGGAGCCGTCTGGTGCTTCCAATATGGTGGCGGCCGGTGAGAGCCTGCCGAGGCCAAAAAACATAGAAACGTGTTTCTCATGTTTCTTAAAGGGGCAGGCTTCTCTCCCCCTTCCCCCCCTCACCACCTCACCCCCAGAACTTTTCCCCGGCTCTTCATGCTGGATCCACTAATATCTTGGCTCTTTATCCGGAACCGGTTGGCCACCACTGATTAAGATTTAAGCGGCGGTGCTGGACCCAAACATGGCCAGTGAGCCAGTCAGCACCTCTCAGGCACTGCCCACAAGGCTAAGTAGCCAGCACTTCCCACAATGCCCAGCACTCCTGGCACCTCCTCCCTGGGGGCTAGAAACACTGACACCCTGTACCCGTCTGTTCCAGCCAGCTCATCCACTTATATCTTTCAGTGCTCACCCTGCCTGGGAGATGCCTCGCAATTCTGGAGCGTATTCCCAGTGTAGGCCATGTTCAAAGGATATTGTGCCCCGCGTAAACCCAAACCACTCTGTGGGCTGAAAACAAGTGTTGAGTAGCTCTGCTATAGAAAGTAATGTTGATGATTGCTTAGTGACTTTTATTGCTCTGATTTTTTAACTTTCAACAGATTCATTAATTTCCATGGGAAAATAATTGTTCCCTTAAGCCACTGAGGTATTGCGGCCTTTCTGAAATGTTATACTACTCTACTTGTGCTGCATGTTCTTATTTATGGACTTCAATTTTCAACTATTATCTAAGCAGATTGAAAGTAATTTAAATCTAAGAACAGTAGATACAAAAACCTGTGTGCTTTAAAAGTTATTAAAACGAAACTTTTATTTTCTTCCCTTAAAATGTTCAGGTAAGACGACCAATAAAAAGGCAGCCCTTCAAAGCAAGCCCGGATGCTTGGAAAGAACAGTGCAAGCAGTTGTTAAGCTTAATATATGAACGTGAGGACTCCGAGCCTTTTAGGCAGCCAGTTGATCTCTTCTCTTATCCTGTAAATATATTTCTCTTTTCTGTAAATGTAACTTAAAACATCTTATAATATTTCAGTCTTTTAAGAATTCATATATTCTTCTTCTTGCTGGATGTATTACTAAGCTCCTCTTCGTCATTCACAGTCTGTCTGCTTTCATGAGGGCTAAATTAATTCCCTCTAAGATGGTGAGGGATCCGAAGCCCCCTGAACTGAGCAAGAATAAGGGCAGCAGGAAATAGCCATCTTCTTCAGAGAGCTCAGTCAGTGAACATCAGTTTCACTTCAGATCCTCCTGTTGTTCCCACATCTCAGCATCTCTTGAGCAGAGGCTGCCAGGCATATTCTATTAGTGCTGTTGAATGGGGGAATGTGGATTAGTCCCTCAAACTCATTTTTACCTCTGATGGAATATGAACCATGGCGTGCCAGCAAAGCCCATTGGAATCTGTAGCTAGGAGATTTAAGTTTAGTCTAAAACAGAGTTTGTGGAACTGTTTGATTATTTTGTGGGTTAGGATAAATTTGAAAGGTACAAGGACATAAACTCATGTTTAATTAAACAGTTCATGACAACTAGTGATAACTTTACCTATTGTCTAATATTACATATTTTTATAGGACTATCGAGATATTGTAGACACTCCGATGGATTTCAGCACTGTGAAAGAAACTTTGGAAGCAGGAAACTACACCAATCCTCTGGAATTTTATAAGGATATTCGCTTAATATTCTGCAACTCAAAAGCTTACACACCTAATAAAAAGTCACGGGTAAGTGATAAAAACATGAATATGTGATATTTCATGCCATTTCTGCTAAGATAATCACACTTTCATATATGGAATGAATGGCACATTGAATGTGCAGAAAGAGGTTGCAATATTACATTTTTAAATATAAATGAACAGGTACTGTTATTTTAAGGACCTAGGATTATAAATCTCATTGGGAAGCTAAACTTGTGGAAAGAACTATGACTTAGAGTGGTCTACACAGAGAAAAAGCCCACAGTAAGAACATAAGAATGGCCGTACTGCGTCAGACCATAGGTCCATCCAGCCCAGTATCCTGTCTGCCGACAGTGGCCAATGCCAGGTATTCCAGAGTGAGTGAACAGAACAGGTAATGATCAAGCGATCTCTCTCCTGCCATCCATCTCCACCCTCTGATAAACAGCGGCTAGGGACACCATTCCTTACCCATACTGGCTAATAGCCATTGATGGACTTAACCTCCATAAATTTATCTAGTTCTCTTTTAAACCCTGTTATAGTCCTAGCCTTCACAACCTCTTCAGGCAAGGAGTTCCACAGGTTGACTGTGCACTGTGTGAAGAAGAACTTCCTTTTATTAGTTTTAAACCTGCTGCACATTAATTTCATTTGGTGGCCCCAATTCTTATATTATGGGAACAAGTAAATAACTTTTCCTTATTCACTTTCTCCACACCACTCACGATTTTATAGACCGCTATCATATCCCCCCTTAGTCTCCTTTTTTTCCAAGCTGAAAAGTCTTAGACTCTTTAATCTCTCCTCATATGGGACCCATTCCAAAAACCTAATTATTTTAGTTGCCCTTCTCTGAACCTTTTCTAATGCCAATATATCTTTTTTGACATGAGGAGACCACATCTGTATGCAGTATTCAAGATGTGACTGTACCATGGATTTATATAAGGGCAATAAGATATTCTTCATCTTATTCTCTGTACCTTTTTAAATGATTCCTAATAGTAGCTAGTGCTGTAAATATACTGGCCTTGTGCATTAACTTAATGCACTTTGGAAATGTATTAAGCTAAACCTCTCAAGGACACACTTAGTGTGTAGTATGAGTGTCTGCATGGGGAGTTAGTATGGAATGTCTAGTGCATTCTGCTCATTGGTTAAGCCTTAACCAGGGGGTGGGGCTATCAGGAAGGGAAGGCTAGGGCTATATAAATCCTGCTAGTAAGCGACCAGGGAGCTTAGTGAACAGGAACAACTATCAGGGAGTTAGAGGGGGAATTTAAGGGGGACACTAAATACACTGAGCATTCTATAAGACTTCTTTTAAACTGAGCTAAATCCAAACTACCTGATTTAAATAACCCTATTCTGTAGGAGAGAATGCCGGCAGAAGCATTCTCTCCTATGGGTTATCCTGTTTATTGCACCCAATGTAGCATGTACAGTTACATGCCCGATGGACAGGTAGCATATGTGTGCATTTGGTGCAAGGAGCTCCTGACCCTCCGAGATTGCGTAAGGACTTTAGAGGCCAGGATGGCTGAATTGGTGGAGCTAAGGGAGGCAGAGTGATACATAGATGAGGCTTTGCAGGACACTGTAGACCTGTCCCACCTCCGGTTAGACAGCCCCTGTGCTATTGAGGAGAGTGAAAGGCTCAGGGAAGAAGAACATTGAACTGGAGCAAAGGGAAATATTCCCATAGTTGAGACCCTCCTTCCGGAGGATGTTGTGGTTTCCTCTCACTGAGGATACCTCTCTGCAGGAGGGAACTCCAGTCATTAGGAAAAGACAGGAAAAGCAGAATACTCCAGTTATTAGGAAAAGAATATCCCCTTAGTAATGGGGGGTTTGATCATTAGAAACCTAAACAGCTGGGGCATTCGATCATTAGAAACCTAGACAACTAGGTTAGTGATGACTGGGAGAACCGTATGGTGACTTGCCTTCCTGGTGTGAAGGTTGCAGATTTCTCAAGACATCTAGATATACTTACATGTAATGCTGGGGAGGAGCCACTGGTCATGTTACCAGTAGGTACCAATGACTTAGGGAAGGATAGGAAAGAGGTTCTGGAGGATAAATTTAGGCTGCTTAGGAAAGAGCTTGAAATCCAGGACCTCAACGGTAGCATTCTCTGAAAGGCTTCTAGCTCCATGCACAGGGTCAGGTAGGCAGGCAGAACTTCAGTGTCTCAATGCGAGGATGAGACGATGGTGCAAGAATGGGTTTAGATTTATTAGGAACTGAGGAAACTTTTGGGATAAAGTGAGCCTGTATAGAAAGGAGGGGCTCCACCTAAACCAAAATGGAACCAGATTTCTGACACTCTACATTAAAAAGGTTGTAGAGCAGCTTTTAAAGTAACAGGTGCGGAGGAGCACATGGATCGGACAGAGACATTTCTTAGGGGAGAGTCTATTAATAGAGATTCTCTATGTTCTAGTAAGGAGGTGAGGATGGAAGATGATAAAATATGGGAAAGATCAGATGAGAAACAGTCAAATGAAAGAGTTTAACACATCAGGAAATAGCAGACAGCTAAATAGTTACAAATTTTTAAGTACTTATACACAAATGCTAGAAGCCTAAAGAATAAGATGGTTGAGCTAGAATGCCTTCCATTAAAGGGAGGATATTGATATAATAGGCATCACAAAAACTTGGTGGAATGAGGACAATCAATGGGATACAGTCCTACCAGGGTACAAAATATAGCGGAAGGACAGAACAGGTTGTGCTGGTGTGAGGGAATGGTACTATACGTGAAAGAAAATGGAGAATCAGATGAAGTAAAAATCTTAAATGAACCAACTTTTTCCATAGAATCTCTATGGATAGTAATTCCATGCTCTAATAATAAGAGTATAGTAGTAGGGATATATTACTGACCACCTGACCAGGACAGTGATAGTGACTATGAAATGCTAAGGGAGATTATATTTATACAACCTATTTATAAAATAAAATACTCAGTAATAGTGGGAGATTTCAATTATCCCCATATGAACTGAGCACATGTCACCTCAGGACAGAGTGCAGAGATAAAGTTTCTTGACACCTTAAATGACTGTTTCTTGGAGCAGCTGGTTCTGGAACCCATAAGGGGAGAGGCAATTCTTGATTTAGGCCTAAGTGAAGCGCAGAATCTGGTTCAAGAGGTAAATATACTTGGACTGCTTGGAAATAGTGACCATAATGTAATACAATTTAACACCCCTGTGGTGGGAAAAACAACTCAGCAGCCCAATACTGTGGCATTTAATTTCAGAAAGGGAAACTACACAAAAATGAGGAAGTTAGTTAAACAGAAATTAAAAGGTATAGTGCCAAAAGTAAAATCCCTATAAGTGTCATGGAGACTTTTCAAAGACACCATTATAAAGGCCCAACTTAAATGTGTACCCCAAGTAAGAGAACCAAAAAAGTGCCACTGTGACTTGACTTAACCAAGTAAAAGAAGCAGTGAGAGATAATAAGGCATCTTTTAAAAAGTGGAAGTCAGATCCTAGTGAGGAACATAGAAAGGAGCATAAAGTTTTTCAAATTAAGTATAAAAATATCAAACTCAAAAAGCAATAGCAAAATGTTTTTAAGTACATCAGAAACAGAAAGCCTGCTAAACAACCAGTGGGGCCCATGGATGATCGAGATACAAAAGGAGCACTAGACGATAAGGTCATTGTGGAGAAAGTAAATGAATTCTTTGCTTCTGTCTTCATGACTGAGGATGTTGCGGAGATTCCCAAGCCTGAGTCATTCTTTATAGGTGACAAATCTGAGGAATTGTCACAGTTTGAGGTGTCATTGGAGGAGATTTTGGAAAAAATTGATAAAATTAACAGTAACAAGTCACCAGAACGAAAAAGCATTCACCCAAGAGTTCTGAAAGAACTCAAATGGAAAATTGTAGAACTATTAAATATAGTTTGTAACCTATCCTTTAAATCAGCTTCTGTACCTAATGATTGGAAGATAGCTAATGTGACACCAATATTAAAAAAGGGCTCTAGAAGTGATCCTGGCAGTTACAAACCAGTAAGTCTAACATCTGTACCAGGCAAATTATTTGAATTTGTCAGGGACTTCTAACCCAGACGGCTTCAGTTCCTTGTCTGACTGCAAAGAGACAGGCAACACCAGCGAGGTCTAATCACAAAGCTCTTTACCGAAGAGTGTACACAACAATAGAGAGCAGCCCATCTCCAAAGAGAACCAGCCATGATTTCAGTAACAAGTAGGTTTATATAGACAGTTCCGTCGCGTCATAGAATATTCACCCAAGCAACCCACTCCTCTTTTTAGCTAAACTTCTCATATCTGTGCATACTTGGCCAACTATACAACATGGCCTTAAGCAATTCATAATACATCAGCACAGGAGACAGGTATCAGACAACCAGGAGACAGAGGAGACAGGGAGTTAAGAACAGACATAGAACAGAAACAGGGAGTCAGGACAGCGAGGAGTCAGTTTATTAAGATCAGAGGGAGAACAGAAACAGGGAGTTACCCTATCAGTCCTCAAGACAAGCTGTTCCTCATCACAGCAGGTACAAGAATGCAGCTTTTTTACTTATCTTACTTTTGCAACATAAGCAAGTGTGTAGGGTGCGCCTTTGCTTGAACCATGTCTCTAGTTCTGCTCAGGGACTACCCAGAAACCTTTGTTAGCCTCCTTTTGATCTGTCATAGCATCATTGCACTAGGCCCAATTCTCTAGGGCCTAACAAAATTACAGTTAATAATAGAATTGTCAGACACATAGATGAACATAATTTGTTGAGGAAAAGTCAACATGGTTTCTGTAAAGGGAAGTCATGCCTTACTAATCTGCTAGGGTATGTCTACACTAGCTCGTTAGTTCTAGCTAGGTAGGGTAATGAGGGCAAGCGGAGTTGCAAATGAAGCCCGGGATTGAAATATCCCGGGCTTCATTTGCATGTTCCCAGGCGCCACCATTTTTAAATCCCCCTTAGTCCGAACTCCGTGCCCGCGGCTACACGCGGCACGGAGTAGGTAGTTTGAATTAAAGATCCTAATTCGAACTACCGTTACTCCCATTCCACGAGGGCACATTACCCTACCTAGCTCGAATTAACGAGCCAGTGTAGACGTACCGTTAGAGTTCTTTGAGGGGGTCAAGAGGCATGTTGACAAGGGGGATCCAGTGGATCTAGTGTACTTAAATTTCCAGAAAGCCTTTGACAAGGTCCCTCACCAAAGACTCGTAAGTAAGTTGTCTTGGAATAAAAGGGAAGGTCCTCTCATGGATTGATAACCGGTTAAAAGACCGGAAACACAGTGTAGGAATACATGGTCAGTTTTCAGAATGGAGAGAGGTAACTCAAGTGTGTGTACTGGGATCAATCCTATTCAACCTATTTATAAATTATCTAGATCAGCGGTCCCAACCTTTTCCAGATGGGGACCCATTTTGACAATTCAGGAAAACTTGGTGACCCAAAGCAATTTAAAAACCGGGGGGGGGTAGTGCCGTAACTAGATAATTTTGCACTTGAAGCAAGAATATAAAATTGTTTATATATTCATAGTAGTTATTTCATAGAAAAACTGAAAATACATTAATAATAAAATAATAGCACTACATTTGTTTGAGTTGTGGTGGGGGAAAGACACTCATCCCCAAACTGCTCCCCCCGGCTTAAACCCCACACTCAGAAGCTGGAGGGGCTGGAGGAGTCACACTCACCCCCACCTTCCTAAGCTTCTTCTGTGCTTTCCCTAGCATTCTAACTTCTTTCCCCCCATGTCCAGGGATATTTTCTTCCCACAGTGGTCACCAACCAATAGCTTGGGATCTACTGGTAGATCTTGGAGCCTCTGACAGGTGATCCTGATTGGTTTGGCTAAGAGGCTATCAAGTGCGGGTACTTCAGCTGCCCCTTTCACCACTGCTGCGCACCTCCTGCCCTTTACCTGGGAGCTTTCCCCCGCCTTTTGGGAGTCTCCTGCTTGTGTTACAGAGCAAGGAAGGGAGAGGAGGGGTGCTGATGTCAGGGTGCCCCTTCTTCCACCCTGTATTCTATCTCCACAGAACGGGAAGAGGGGGACAACAGGGCCTGGCATGGAAGGAACAAAAGACAGGACTATGCAGCACTTTAAAGACTAACAAGATGGTTTATTACAGTGGTCCCCAACACGGTGTCCGTGGGTGCCATGGCGCCCGCCGGGGCATTTATGTGCGCCCGCTTAGTGCTGCCCCTGGGAGCTCGGCGCATGCGCGGCCCTGCCTAGGGCCGGCTCTAGGCACCAGCAAACCAAGCATGTGCGGCACATCCACTCAGTGTGCAGCAACAACCAAAAAAGAAAACAGAATGTTAGGAATCATTAAAAAAGAGATAAAAACAGAAAATATGTTATTGCCTCTATATAAATCCATGGTATGTCCACATCTTGAATACTGCATACAGATGTGGTTGCCTAATCTCAAAAAAGGTATCTCAGCATTGGAAAAGGTTCAGAAAAGAGTAACAAAAATTATTAGGGGTTTAGAACTGGCGCCATATGAAGAGAGTTTAAAAAGACTGGGACTTTTCAGCTTAGAAAAGAGGAGACTAAGGGGGGATATGATAGAGGTCTATAAAATCATGACAGGTAGGGAGAAAGTGAATAAGGAAACATTATTTACGTGTTCCCATAACATAAGAAATAGGGGTCACCAAATGAAATTAATAGGTAGCAAGTTTAAAACAAACAAAAGGAAGTTTTTCTTCATGCAGTGCCCAGTCTACTTGTGGAACTCCTTGCCAGAGGATGTCGTGAAGACCAGAACTTCAACAAGATTCAAAAAAGAACTAGATGAATTCATGTAGGCTAGGTCCATCAAAACTTATTTGCCAGAATGGGTAGGAATGGTGTCCCTAGCCCCTATTAGTCAGCGGCTGGAAATGGATGAGAGGAGAGGGATCCCTTGATGATTACCTGTTTCTGTTCGCTCTCTCCGGGACATCTGGCATTGGCCACTGTCAGAAGACAGGATACTGGGCTAGATGGACCTTTGGTCTGATCCATTATGGCTGTTCTTATATTCATATGTTTGCTTGGAATTCACACCTTATGTTAACATGCACCAACTTCCCCATGTAGACAAGCCCTCTGATTCTCAAGTATTCTCCTATTCTAGTATGGAGGAAATTAGAATCATAGAGCTGGAAGAGACCTCAGGAGGTCATCAAGTCCAGTCCCCTGCCCAACGCAGGACCAATCCTAGCTAAATCAACCCAGCCAGGGTCCTGTCAAGCCAAGATTTAAAAACCTCTAGGGATGGAGATTCCACCACCACCTTAGGTAACCCATTCCAGTACTTCACCACCTTCCTAGTGAAATAGTTTTTCCTAATGTCCAACCTAGACCCCTCACACTGTAACTTGACACTATTGCTCCTTGTTCTGCCATTGGTCACTACTGTGAACAGCCTCTCTCCATCCTCTTTAGAACCTCCCTTCAGGAAATTGAAGGCTGCTATCAAATCCCCCCTCACTCTTCTCTTCTGCAAACTAAACAAACCCAAATCCCTCAGTCTCTCCTCATAGGTCCAGCCCCCTAATCATTTTGGTTGCCCTCGTCTGGACCCTCTCCTGTGTGTCCACATCCTTTCTATAGTGGGGGGCCCAGAACTGGACACAGTACTCCAAGTGTGGTCTCACCAGAGCTAAATAAAGGGGAATAATCACTTCTCTAGATCTGCTGGCAGTGCTCTTCCTAATGCAACCTAATATACCATTAGCCTTCTTGTCTACAAGGGCACACTGTTGACTCATATCCAGCTTCTCATCCACTGTAATCCCCAGGTCCTTTTCTGCAGAACTGCTACTTAGCTATGTGGTCCCCAGCCTGTATCAGTGCTTGAGATTCTTCCTTCCCAAGTGCAGGACTCTACACTTGTCCTTGTTGAACCTCATCAGATTTCTTTTGGCCCAATCCTCTAATCTGTCTAGGTCACTCTGGACCCTATCTCTGCCTTCCAGCATATCTGTCTCTCCCCCTAGCTTAGTATCATCTACAAACTTGCTGAGGGTGCAATCCATCCTCTCAGCCAGGTCATTAATAAAGATGTTGAACAAAACCGGCCCTAGAACCGACCCTTGGGGCACGCCACTAGAAACCAACCGCCAACCTGACATCGAGCTGTTGATCACTACCGACAGTCTAGTCAGCTTTCTATCCATCTTACAGTCCATTTGTCCAATCCATACTCCCTTAACTCGCTGGCAATTATTTCACTCTTTTTTTGAGGTCAAGCTCCTTCCCACTTCCATACCACCTGGACACAATTTGCTAGCCACTGTATATGGGCTCCTTCCACTTTCATCCTCTTCTTCCCTGTTGACTTACAGCAGGAGAATATCAGATATATAGTCCCTGCCATAGGCTCAGCAGGGCTTGAGCACCCACAGGGGAAATTAGAATATGCTTCGCCTCCACTGGTAGCCAAGCTCCTCTCTTCCCCGCTCCAGAACCTTCATGTGCTGCAGCTGGCCCTTGGTGTCCAGAAGGAGTGGGGATGGGGCGTGCTCACAGGAAGAGGCAGAGAAGGGATGGAGTAGGGGCAGGGCAACAATGGAAAGAGAGAGGATGGGAGAATATGTGGAATTGGTGTGGGGCCAGAGTCAGAGTGGGAGCTCTAGCACCCACCGGCTAGAGGGGAAGTCAGTGCTTATAGGCCCTGCCCTTCGCTCTTGAAGCATGACCCAGGCAGAGAGGGTGAAATGCCTTGGCTGTACTTACACTGGACTTACCATGCTTCTCAGTCAGCTGTATTAGTGCTAGTTAAAAATCTGGCCTTGAATTCAATAGGCTAAACTTGACTTCATGCCAAAAAAAAAAAATAGTTTAACGGCTGTTGTCATGAGACTTCACGAAGTTTAATTAATTGTTTCATCCTTCCCTGTTTGGGGTCCTTCATTAACAACCCATTTGTCTAGTTTGTCATCTAATTAGTTTGTACAATAAATAAGATTGATTACACGAAGACCATAAATTGAAGTATTTCATTCTGTAGATAGAACACACATGATTTTTTTATACTTAGTACATTCTTCACAGTTGTCTGTTAGTATGGTTCTTGCTTTTGGAATATTAAGGTTGGTATATTTCTATAAATCTTTGCAACACTGTTTTTCATGGAATTTGTTCTAAATGTGGAGATCATCAGTAAATATGACCATGACTACTTTCTCCAGATCTACAGTATGACGCTTAGACTGTCTGCCTTATTTGAAAATCATATTAAAAATATCATCTCTGAATACAAGTTGGCCATGCAGTGTCAGAAAAGGAAGAGGCCACGGTACAGAAAACGACTAAGGAGCAGTAGTAGTTCACCATCTAGTAGCAGAGCATCCAGGTAACTTAATGAAACTCACTATCTGCTTATTTTGAAATCCTGTTTTAGGTGGAAATAAACATTCAGATAAGAAGCCAGTAACAATATGGATTGTGGGTTGCCAGATCGAGAGTTTAAGCCCACACTAACACTGGAAGTCGTACATAATTCCAGCAAGTGGGAGGGGTGCTATATAAAAGTATGAAAGGAGCTGTATAATGTATTAATTTCTATAATACATTTTATAAAGTAAACGATATGTTCCTTTTAAAATCTTGTTCTTGTACATTTGTATTTCTTTAATAAATTCACCAGTATTTTATATATTTTATTACTACATTGATGTAAGCTGTGGGACAGAAAATCAAATATTCCATGTTACATTTAAATATCAAACTTAACACTGTTAACACATTTTCAATGTTTGCATGTTTCTGTTTTTTAAGTTCTTTTGTATTAATATTTGTACGCTTTTGGGGATGTTTCATATCTTCAGCCCTAAAGGGAAACAGAAACAAGTGAAGATTCAACCTAAAATTAACCAGAATACCTCACTGCCTTTGACTAGGACTAACTCTTCAGTTTCATCTCATGGTAAGTAGAATAAAAAGTGGTATACATGACAGAACCA